AGAAAAACTTTATTTTAAAAAATTTTTATTATTTTTTTATTTTACTTCTCAATATACATTGTAGTTGATTTTCATGCCCCTTTACCCGTTCCTCTCCATCCCCCCCACCCCCACATCATATCTGTTCACTTGACTTAAACAGTTCAAGGAATTTTTGTGGTTATTCTGTCTTCTTCCCCCCGCCCCCCCCCAAAAGAAAAACTTTAAACAAATTAAATTTAACAGAGTTTAATTGAGCAAAGAATGATTCTTGCATGGGGCAGCCGCAGAACCAGAATAGGTTCAGAGGGACTACAGGGCTGCCACATGGTTGGATAACATTTATGGACTAAAAAAGGAAAGTGACCTACAGAAAACAGAAGTGAGGTACAGAAACAGCTGGATTGGTTACAGCTGAGTGTTTGCCTTATTTAAATCTGGTTTGAAGAGCTGGCTGCCTGTGATTGGCTAAGAATCAGATACTTGTTACAAGAGTAGGTTACAGTCTGTTTACACATGGCGTTAGGTTACAGTTCACTATGTGTGGAGAAGCCTTTAGGCCAAACTTAATTTAACAGCCTTAATAACTTTGAAGTGGGTAAAGCCTTTCAAATTAATACATACAATCCACAAAGCACAAATAAAACATCAATTCAGTTACATAAATAATATCGGCATGGCAAAACCACCATAAGCAATGTCAAAAGTCAAATAATATACTGGGAATATTTGCAATTCTTATCCCACACAAATTTTGTTTCATAGAAAGAGCTCCTAAAAAAAAATCAATAAAAAACAAATGCCACACAAACACAAAAAAAGGGCAACAGAAAAAAAAAATAGATTCCTTTTAAATATATGAAAAAAATGCCCAAACTCACAGAGAAACTTAAGAATATGCTGAGATACTGTTTTCACCTATTAGAATACCAAAACTTGATAACACACCATGTTGGCAAGAAGAAGGGGAAGCAGGCATTATCATATATTGCTGATGGAAGTATAAATTGTTCAACCTCTAAGGAGGACAGTTTGACAACATCCATCAAAATTCATATTCTCATGGTATCTGATTCAGACATTTATTTTCTAGGAAATGTGCATGATTGCCTTAACACCCATGCAAAATGTCATATGTACAAGATTATTCACAGCAGCACTCTGTATAATAGCATGATAATGGAGGCATCCTAAATGTCCCTCAATAAATATGAATGTGATAGAGTATTATGCAGCCACAAAAAAGAATTAGGAGGCTTTTTATGTGCCAAGACAGCAAGATCTCCAATATATATCAAGTGAAAAGGTAAGGTCCAAAAGAGTGCATATGGTAAGCTTCCATTTAGTTAAAAGGAGGGAAATCAATACATGTTCACATTTTCTTATTTATGTATAAAGTGTGACCAAGAGAATACACAAGGAACGAATGAAAAGGAATTGCCTGTAGGGAAAGAAAGGGAATGGGTGCAGGAGGGAGAATTTTTACTGGATGCTCTTTCATACTTTTTGGTTTTTTGAATACATGGATATATTACCTATTGAAAAAAATTGAATGAAACTATTAATTGAATTGTAAAGGCTAGTCACATTGGCTTATGTATAGGAAAAGAGATTTTGGAGAAAGGAGAAAAGACCACCCATCTTGCCCTGCCAGCTGGACCTCAGGGTAGGTGAGGCTGGGAAACAGTGCCACCCCTCCTCCAGGGTGACCGAGAGGCCCCCTATTGAAGAGTCAGCACTAAAACCCACAGGTGGGAGAATCCTGGGTCAGGACTGAGGCTGGGAAACAGTGCCACCCCTCCTCCAGGGTGACCAAGAGGCCCCCTATTGAAGAGTCAGCACTAAAACCCACAGGTGGGAGAATCCTGGGTCAGGACTAGGAAGTGGGAAGTCAGGGATGCTGGGGCAGCGGCTCTGGTAAGGAGAAGGGAGGAAAACACCGAGGGAACCGCATGGCACAGCACTTGGCCAGCCTGCAGTGAGCACAATTTCAGTGGTACCCCTGCTCCTAGCAGCCTTCACCTCCTATCCCCCTGTAGGGAAGGACATTTCCCCGCCCCTAAGCAAGCATGGCCCTGGGCTTCCCTGACCCCTCCTGTCCACCGAGACCCTGCTCATGAACTGCTTTCCCCTGAGAACCCAGGACCAGCCAAGTTTGGTCCCAGAGGTGTGAGCACTTTTCTTTTTAATGAGACTGAAGACCCCCAGAGGAACAAAGTTCTAGCAATGGCCTTTCTGACTCCCAGGGTCTTTTGAGTCACACTTATCTTCTCTGTCATAAAGGAAAGGAGCATAAGTCACTAACTCCTCCTGGATTTAGTTTTGTGTGGGGAGTTAGAGTTTTTGAGAAATATAAACAATGGAGGGCGAATCGGAGGAAGTGACAGGGTTGAGATTTCAGGCATCCGTGGCAGGACAGTGGGGCCTCCCTTGGCCACAGCAGAGGGCAGCTGACTGTGTGCCACCTGCAGAACATGCTGGGCCGAGGTGGCCACACAGGGCCTTCAGCTGGAGGGGCTTCTTCCCTGGGGAGAAGCAAGAGTAGGAAGCCAAGGGACGGTGTGTGTCTGGGGCCAGTGCAGGAGCAGGCAAAGAGGAGCAGGAGGCAGAGAGAAATGAGACCTTCCACCTTCTCTTGCCCCCCGCTGAAAAGTGTAGGAACCCTGAGCAAAATGCAAGGCTGTGCTTGATGTGCCTGCAAATGCAGATTCCTGCAACTTGAGACACAAAAGAGGCGAGGCTCAGGCTGGTGTGGAGTCTTCTGAGTCTATCCCATTCATACAGAATTAGATTAGAGAAGGTGCTTCCTTTGACACAGCAAAGACTTTCCACAAGAGCGTTTGAGGGGTGGAATTGCGGGTATCTTATAAAGCTGGGGTTGGTGGCTGGCACTGGAAGAAGGCAACTGATGTGGAGGCAGGAAGGCAGTGGAGCACAACACATGGCAGGGGAGAGTGGCAGCTTTCATAGCAGGAGTTCCACCAAGCCCCCAAGCCTTAAAGAAGTCACTTACCTTCTTGCAGCTTCCATTGCCTTATTTTTGCAAGGGTGGCAGGCGAGTGTGCTCTTCCTAGCTCACAGCATTGTTCAGAATGTGACCACGGTTTGTAAACCACAAGGTGCTTTCCACAACGCAGAAGTGTTACTGTTGGCCCTTTCACCATTAGTATTGACATGTGATCATCGTGCCTGCCGGTGGGTCTCAGAAAAGCAACACTGGATGCTAGAGCGCCAGGGGGCATGTGACTTGGCGAGCCAGCAGCCAGCCCCCCAGTGACGTAATATCTGCAAGTGAGCAGGGAGGACACCCAGCTCCCTCTCACTCAGTTTCCTCATGGAGAAAGTGAATGTAACTATATGAAAAACCTTCTACTTTTACACACATTCTCTGAGTCTTTCAAACAAGCCTACAAGCCAGGAGTGTGTCATTCCAATTTGACAGATAAGGTAACAGACCAGGGCCATGCCACAGTGAGGGATGAAAATCCAGGCCTTCTGTGTCCCAGCCCAGGATTCATCTTATTGCTCTCCCACCCAGCCAGAGCTGAGCCTTGCCCATACACAGTGGCCAGCATGTGGGACAGGGAAACCTGGTCCCACTGGCTCCCTGTTGGTTGGGCTCACTGTTCATTCTGTAGTTCACGAACATTTGCTTAGAGCAGCACATTTTATGTGCTTTCTGTTTTTGCAAGAAGTCCCAGCTGTGAGCGGAAACAAGGTCATGGATATAAGGCAGGCAGGTCCTAAAGTGTTTCCTGCCCCACCTTTGCACTCTAGCCTAGATCCCTGACGATGGCTGGAGTTCAAGTCCAGATGCCAGCAAACTTATGAGCAAGGCCCCTCCTTCTCTCTGTGTGCAGGGGAATGGGCCTTCTTTGCAAGACCCCCCAGCCCAGAGTGGTCGCTGAGGGAGGCCCAGGGTGGGGAACCCTATTCAGACAGGTAGGGTTCTTCTACGGGGCCAGGCCTGGGGTTTCCAGCCTTGGTTGGCAGGGGAATTCTTACCCAGAAGACTAGATTTTATATAAGACCTTACACAGAACTCCAAAGTGTAAAACAGGCCATAAGGGAGCTGCAGTGGTCAAGGCCACATGCCCTCACGGCCCTCACTAGCTGCACAGAGCCATGTGGGCTCTGGAGGTCCAGGTTATGCAACCAACGTGCCTTTCTTCCTGCTCCCAAACCCTCCCCCACTCAGCTGCTTCCCCCTAGAAGACCGATCTTGCAAACGCATCATGCTTGTGCAGCAGGATGAGGCCCGTTGCTCTCAGCATGAATTCCAAACCTCTCTTCTTGGCATTCCAGGCTCTTTAAAGTTGGTTTCAACACACCCGTCTTGCCTCACCATTCACTGAGACCCAATTCTCTGGTCTCTTCACATCCTTTTTCTTCTTCCATATTGGCCTTTTCCTCCCTCCCACTTTCTCTCTTTATGGTCTAGCCAAACCTAACCTTCTATCCAAGCTTCTCTTGAGAGTCACTGCTTCCTGGAAGCCCTCACTGCCTACATCAGCTGTCCATGGTCTCCCTCTTTGAAACACAATAGCACACATGGTCAGTGCCCTATAAAGCAGCATCTATCTTTTAGGTGATTTTATCTGATTCATTGATGTTCATATGTGTCAGCCTGATCCCCCCAGCTGATCCCTATGGTTCATTCATGAAGGACAGGGGATAAGCCGCTTCTTTCTTTCATAGCAGGCTCTAAGTAGTATGAATTTCAGCACACTGTAGGGCTTCCCTAAGTAGCTACTGACTTTATTGAACTGCAGCAGTCTTGATATATGTAGCTTCCGGGGTTATGGAAGCTCCTTCCTCATGCTGAGGAGGATGGAGGCCCTGTTGGGGGTTGATCAGCATAAGAGAGAGCCCTTGGACTGAAGTTGGTTGCAGGCAGGTCAAGCCTCCTCCAGGACTTTCTTTTCTGGAGATTTCCCTAGGATGTGCACATCTCACCAACTTAAGAAAACCATGGCGGGGTAAGTGAAGCATTCACTGTATGGTTCTGGCCTGTCTTTCAGGGATTTGAAACTGGACAACATTCTTCTGGATGCAGAAGGTCACTGTAAGCTGGCTGACTTCGGGATGTGCAAGGAAGGAATTCTGAATGGTGTGACGACCACCACGTTCTGTGGGACCCCTGACTACATAGCTCCTGAGGTGAGATCCATGTGCAAAGGGCCACCTCTTCCTGGTGCCAGGGCTGAGGTAGTGGTCTAACCCCATGCCCTAAAGTCATCTAGAGGTGCTGGGGGAAGGCTCTGGGAAGCCAAGATGATTCTGAGAGGAGAAGAAAGAGGAAGGTAAAAGGTTTGCTGATTTTTCCACAAAGAAGTCGTGGTGATGGGGGAGAGGATGGGTGAACTGAGAGTAATAGGCTATTCCCCAAATCTGGGCAAGTCCTCACTGAACATCAATCTCCTGTCCCAGTCCAACACCAACAATAAAACTAGCACCAAGATTAATTTGTTAACTCGTATCATTGTTTTCATATCTAAAAAGTCAGAATGAAGGAGCATCACTGATAAAAGCACACAATAATGAACAAGGAGAGGAGGGTGTCCGTGCCTCATTATAAATAGAGACCAGAGGTGTTCCTTGTGAGCCTCACCAATGAGTTGCCTTTCGTGAAAGCTGTTGAGACTTTTTACTCATCATAAAGTGTTTGCGTTGAGTTCCTCCACATCAATCTTGCCCCGACTGAGAGATACCTAGTGTGATATAGTTCAGATTGACAACATGGCCTCTTACAGGTACTTAATCAAAATGATCTTGATGGTTCTGAGACATGCAAGATGGGAAGAAAGTACCAATCCCCATTAAACATTGCCCGTGGTAGATAAGTGTTAGTTAGCACATCTTATTGTGTTTCCTTTTAGTAGGCATTGTTTGAGCACCTGCTGGACACAAAGCAATGTGGGGATAAAGAATTGACTGGGACACTGGTCTCTCTCCTAAAGGAACTTTTGATCTAAAGGGAGTGACAGATAAGTAAACAACTAATTAAGCAGAATAAATAGGTATACAAAACAAGATAGTGTCCTTGGGGATCAAGAAACGCTTCTTGGAGCACGGGGATAAAGAATTGACTGGGACACTGGTCTCTCTCCTAAAGGAACTTTTGATCTAAAGGGAGTGACAGATAAGTAAACAACTAATTAAGCAAAATAAATAGGTATACAAAACAAGATAGTGTCCTTGGGGATCAAGAAACGCTTCTTGGAGCACCTGGTAATTGAATCAAATTGTAAAGAGTAAGGATTTCCTTTGGCAGTAGGGGTGTGGAGGGCACTCCTGAAAACGACAAGGAGGATTGGAATGAGGGTAGGACAGGGAAGATCAGTATCCCTGGGCTCTGCATCCTTTCAGAGCAGGGTCTGTTTCTAATCGGAGTACTCCCAGGATCCAGGACACAAATCAGGCTCTTAGTAATAGTCTATTGAATGAATGAATGATAATCTGTGACATTTCAACGTAAGCAAAGGCCAAGGGATGAAAACATCTTGGCCTTTTTTCAGGAAAGTTAAATAGTATAGCTAAAACATAGGACTTCTTAGTGCTCATATTAATGAACGAGGTTAGGATAAAGGACCAAGGAATGTAGGATCTGTGGACCCACTAAGGGTTCTGGTGGAGGAGGGTCCTGATCAGACCCGTCCCAGGAAGAAGACAGGCAACAGCAGTGCAGATCAGGAGGCAGAGAGAGAGGCACGGACAAGACAGGGAGGCCTGAAGAGGCTCTAGAGGTAAGGACGGTGAATAACAGGTAAATTCTCTGTGGAGCCTTTATCTTCTAAGAGACTGTAGAGCAGAGTACCAGTCTCTCTGCTAGTGAGTTCTTTTAGCAGGAATAGCAGGAATTCAGCCTTTAAGGAGAAATAAATGAAAGTGAGGGCCTTCAGTTGGGTTCTCCTTTTCCTTTCTTCCTCATTCAGTCTTTATCATCAGGATACTCACTTCCAGTCCCTCTGTGGGTTGGTGCCAGAGTCCTAGGGCTGACAGCCCATTGCAGTAGTTAAGGACCCAGCCCAAGACAAACATTCGCTTTACAAGGAACAAAACACCCACTCAGCTGTCATGAAAAGCAACCCATTGGTGAGACTTACAACGAATGACTCTGATCTCTGTATACAATGAAGCATGGAGGCAAGAAAGAGAGCACGCCGGGGGCCCTAAGACAGGAGCCGAGGGTCAACCCCCTCCACCCGGATGCAAGAGACGGAGCACTCCCGGGGTCCTAAGGCAGGAGCCGAGGGCCAGCCCGATCCGCCCGCCTGGACGCAGGAAAGACACAGAGCACGCCCGGGGTCCTAAGGTAGCAGCCGAGGGTCAGCCCGCTCCACCCGCATGGACGCGGGAAAGACACAGAGCACGCCCGGGGTCCTAAGGTAGCAGCCGAGGGTCAGTCCACTCCACCCGCATGGATGCAGGCATGACACAGCGCACGCCCGGGGTCCCCAGGGCCAGCCCGCTCTGCCCGCATGGATGCAGGCAAGACACAGAGCACGGCCGGGGTCCCCAGGGTCAGCCCGCTCTGCCCGCATGGATGCAGGCAAGACACAGAGCACTCCCGGGGTCCTAAGGTGTAGGAGCCGAGGGCCAGCCCGCTCCACCCGCATGGATGCAGGCATGACACAGCGCACGCCCGGGGTCCCCAGGGCCAGCCCGCTCCACCCGCATGGATGCAGGCATGACACAGCGCACGCCCGGGGTCCCCAGGGCCAGCCCGCTCCACCCGCATGGATGCAGGCAAGACACAGAGCACGGCCGGGGTCCCCAGGGCCAGCCCGCTCTGCCCACATGGATGCAGGCAAGACACAGAGCACTCCCTAAGGTAGGAGCCGAGGGCACGCCCGCCCCACCCCCGGATGCAGGCAAGAAATCGGGCACTCCCAGGGTCCTTAGGCGGGAGCAGAGGGCAGTATCCCTTGCCGGGAAACAGACATGTAGCACGTTGAAAATACCAGTTCCTCGTGGGAGTCCCACCACTGCCACCGCCATAGCCACGACTGCCGCAAAAGCAGCTCCGTGCCACAGCAGCAGCCACAGCTACCATGCAACGCAGGTGGCCCGCCAGACATGCCTAACTGCAGTGACACAAGGAGAGTCACCAGCGGAGACCAGAAAAAAGAGAGGAAGTCTCTCTCCTCAAAGCCCACTCCAGCGTAATAGAAGAAGCAACTGTTCTACCATGCCCTGCTTTATTTCCAATTTTAGTAACTCTGTCTTCTCTCTTTTTTCTTGGTCAGTCTAGATAAAGGTTTGCAAATTTTATCGACATTTTTAAAGAATAATAATAATAAGACTATTAAGCAGTCTACAAAGCATGATTGATGTAAATATTTTAATCAAATGTTCACTTTACAATTTATAATTGTAAGGTTAATGTTTATTAATTAACTTAATTGTTAATTAATAAACAATTATTTATAATTGCTAATTGTTATAATAGTTAATTGTTTATAATTCTTTTAGGGTATAATAATCTTTATATATATTCTATAACTTGTTAAATATGTAACTATCATTCATTTTTTTTGACAGACTTTGTTATGGGAGATAGAAATCAAGTTCAAAACTCATTTCTCATTATGATCTAAGTTTTTTTCCTTACTTTATTTCTTTTCTGCATCTCTTATGACAATTTTGAATTTTCTAATTCAGAAAATTAAGAACATTTTTGTTTTCAAGAGTTCATCATAATACATTTCTATATTATTAAATAAAATAAAATCATCAAACTCAAAAAAATAAAACAAAATAGATGAGGCATGGACGCTGTTCCTTCCTGCACTGTCCTGTGTGCCCACCATGCAGAATAATTGCTACACTAGAATAGCAAAGAATCCCTGGTCTTACTATAGGCAAAGTAATGTAGCTAATAAAGGTATCGCTGCCTTTATCAAGGCCTACTGGGAAAATGAAATGAAGTTATGCCTCTGAAGCACTGAGCACGGTGCCCGACCCACAGTGAGTGCTGGCTAAGTGGTGGCTCTACCATTATCATCATCATTGGGTTGCATCATGGGGTGGGTAAAACAGTCCTGAGAATTGAAATTTGAGGCCAGACTTGACCAGTAATGCCCCCATGTGACCTCGATGAAGTCACAGAACGTTTTTGAGTCTCAATTCATCTTTCAAATGAGAATCCTAATTCCTGCCCTACCCATCTCATCAAGCTGTTTTGAGAATCTAATGAGATTAGAGCATGGAATTGCTTCAGAGAGCATAAGCCTCTACTCAAATAGGAGAGGTTATGGGGCGTCGGGCTAACTCCGAAACCAGAGCCACTTTCTCAGGCACCGGCTGTGCCCCAGGGCTTCTCTTCCCACCATGTGCCCTTGGCTCACCCCCCTGACGCCCCCTCTCCTTTCTCCACACCTGGCCCCTGCTCCCAGGAAAAGCCACCAGCCCTGGACAACACTTCACATCATCAGGCCAGTGCTTGCTCTTCTCTTCTACCCCAGCTCTGCCCTCGGGTTGGCTGCCGTGCCAGGTGCCCTCCCATGGCGTGCGAATCCTTGTCCTTCTCACCAGCTCTATGCTGACAAGGTGCTTAGGAGGCAGATAATTAGGGCCAAGCCTAAAAGAGAATACGAAAGATGCCACCCCAAATGAGAATGCTGTGGAGGGGCCTGGGGAAGGGTGGGTAGGGCCGCTCTGCAGTTTTCACGGTGCACAGTCTGAGCACACACAGGCCACCTGGAAGCCATCTTCTCACCACACCGAAGAGGCACAGATCCCAGCTGTCCCACCTCCCCAGGGTTCGAGTGGCCACCTTAGCATCCAGAGCCCCCAAGCCTAGGAGAGAAGGGAACGTGTCCAGTAAGACGCACACAGTGGACACACATGCCAGCCTGTCATGAAGCACTGGCTGTCTCCTTAGTGATGGTATGGGATGGTCACCATGGTGGACTCAAAGGAATGCTGGAGCCCTTATCCAGCATATCTACAAAGGCACTGGTGCTTTGTAGATATCCTAGGGAGACAGCTGCCCATGAGAAAATAACTGAAACCTAGTAGTATGTGGAAAGTGCCTGCAAATCTTAGGAACAGGCAGGGGTCTTAGGATGTCAGAGGATAGCAAAAGAGCTGGGGAATTCCAGGAAAGCTTTCTGGAACAGATAGGTCATAACTATGACCTTGAAAGACAGAAACTGGTGGTAACATGATGAGCCAGATTGGGTGCTGGATTTTTCGAGGGAAGAGCTGGCTTTAACTTTGGAACAGGGTAGAATCACCGGCTCCTCAGGACAGTGGAGCCTACTGCCCTGATCTTACAGATACCCTGCAGTAAGCACTGGATCAAGAGATCAAAGGTGCTAACCAAACAGATTACCAGCACCAAATAATTTAGAGTGGGCTACATTTTCTCACAGTCCTTTACATTTCAAATTCAGAAAATTTCAGATAATTTCTAAACCATGCATATTTTTACTATGTTCAAATGCTTCTACCCAAGTCTTTTTGTGTAATCCCAAGCAATCTGTAACCTCTAGAAGGGTATTCTGTGTAGACCACAAAAAAATCAGATACTTGAGTTCAGCTTCCTCTTCCCTGGCCGCCTTGAAATCTGAGAACTAAATTGGAGCCTTGTCCTGGGCCTGAGAAGTCACCTGCCTGAGGTGTCCTGAGAGCTGAAATGACCTTCGCCTTTTGAGGGGGGTCTCAGAGTGTACCCCCCATTAAGGACATGCACTCCAGCCTTGCTCCTCCTCAACACTCTTCACTTTTTGGAATTCTTTATAGAATTACAGACCTGAAGAGATCATCTCATCCACTCTCTCATTTCTGAGCAGGACCATGCCTAATCACTCTCTGACTGATAAGAAGAGAAAATAATTGTGGAATGGGAATGTCGCTTCATGATCCCTTTCTTAGCACTGGGGACAGCTCATCTATTTCTCCTCTGAGCCCAACACACGTCATTGACTTGCTACATATTTTATATATATGTATAGGATATGTATTTGTACCTAATAGAAAAAAACTTGGATTTAATACCACCTTTCAATTGTATGGAGCTTTGTATTTTATGATATGCTTTTAAAATCGTCCACCTTAATTTTGTAAGATTAAGCTGAAAATCTTTTTTGTGTGTGTGGTGTCTGGCTGGTACAGGGATTCAAACCTATGATCTTGGTGTTATCAGCACCACACTCTCCCAAGTGAGCTAAACGGCCAGCCAAAGCTGAAAATCTGAGCCTCATTTGATAAATGAGGAAGTCAAGTGACTGGTTCAAGGTCACCTAGAAAATTTAGCAGCAGACTTGGGATGGAATATAAATATCTGGAAGGACTTCTATCTCCTAGTGTAACACAAGGCCATTGCTCCAGGAAAGTTAGGATAGGGGCAGTTGTTTGCTTTTGAAAGGTTCTGCAGCTTCTTGACTTTAGGTAGAATTTTTATGGTACATTGAAATTATGATTCGGATTGTAAAACTTCAGTCCTCGGACACTGTTCTGCGGGAAGCTGAGGGCACATAGTATTCAGTAGCATCGTGTGATGCATGCATTTAATCTCAGTGAATGCGACTCTCCACATTTGGCCAGAAGAAAAAAAAAAGAGAGAGAGAGAGAGGATAGATAAGACAAATGGCCATTGTCAGAGACAAAATACATCAGACAATCAAGGAAATGATCTGATTCTGGCTATTGCAATAGGGAGGACATTCATTAATGAGTATGGCCTCAAAGAAAAGGAAGGGGACCTGGGGTTTTAAAGAGGCAGGTAAAGGAGGGATTCATCAGTGAGTCTTATGGATCATGAGGAACGATGGAGATGGGTCTTTTCTTGGTATATGTAAGAGCACAATGGTCCCTTGTGGGTAGAACACAGAAGGGTGGGGCAGAATTATTACCTGTCATTTTCCTTCCTGGAGCACAGTGCTCAGGTCAATTCAATGTTGTCAACATTTAAAGAATATTGAGACTCAGCTCACCCTTCCACTCAGGCAGTGGGCACACCCCAGACCAAGTGCAAGACGGGAGACCTGAGCCTGCTGCACTCTCTGTCCCTCTTAGTCTGCACCTTGCTCCCGTGGCCTTGGTTTTAGTGTCAAAATGGGCTTTGTTTTTTTTTTTTAACATGGCCCTAAATGCAAGTCAGGAACTTGTCTGCTGCTCAAACAAACAGTGATTTGTTTCCTCTGGAGGACAGACTGTGGACAGTGACTTTGGAGAGATGATAGTGGGCCCCTAATACAGAGCCTCCCAAACTCAATTTTCACTGAATTTGCTGATTTAGAACTTCACTGTATGTGACACAGGGCTCCATCTTGGAGGAACAAGCTGGAAATGCAGACACAGGCTTCCCCATGGGCACTTATGGCACGGGTGTTATTGGGGATGGGAGTCTTTGGTGGTCTCTGACATTGCCTTTTTCCTGAACAGATCCTGCAGGAGTTGGAGTATGGCCCCTCAGTGGACTTGGGCACTTATGGCACGGGTGTTATTGGGGATGGGAGTCTTTGGTGGTCCCTGACATTGCCTTTTTCCTGAACAGATCCTGCAGGAGTTGGAGTATGGCCCCTCAGTGGACTGGTGGGCCCTGGGGGTGCTGATGTACGAGATGATGGCTGGGCAGCCCCCCTTTGAGGCTGACAATGAGGATGACCTATTTGAATCCATTCTCCATGACGACGTGCTGTACCCGGTCTGGCTCAGCAAGGAGGCCGTCAGCATCCTGAAAGCTGTGAGTCAGGGCCCCTCCCCACGGCTCTGCTCCCCGCCTGCTCCCCCCATGCACACCAGCGTGTGCACACACCCACACTCACACACACTCTCACACACACCCACACACTCACACATACCCTCACACTCATGTACACCCACACCTACACACACACTCATGCACACCCACACTCCATATTTACTCAGGCACACGCCCACACTCACACATCCACACACACACTCATGCACACACACACCCCCACACACACACACTTTTATCACTTTCTTTCTCCTCCCTCTGCTCAAGACTGAATGGGAAGAGTCGAGGACAGTCACCTGGGAGTTCAGGCATAGTT